GACTCAAGTGCCCCCATGCTTTGACCATGCTAGGTATTCAGTCTGTTAGCCTACTAATTGATATGGGGATGAAAGATTAGAAAAAGTCAGAGGAGACCAATATTTTCAACTGGAAGTGCCAAAAACAGAAACAGGGGCCTTACAAGGGGATAATCGGGTTTTGAGAAAAGTTGAATTCTCAGACAACAGAACTGGGTGCCTGATGTAACTGGTAGGTAGTGAAGATTCATGTCCCTGAAGGTATTCAATCCCAAAAACCATCTATTGGTAACGTTATTGCCAAGTGCATTGGCTCACACCTGTAATCTCAGCACTTTGGGAAGCTGAGGTGAGTGGATCACTTGAGTCCAGGAGTTTGAGACCAGCCCTGGCAACGTGGCAAAACCCATCTCTACAAAAAATAGAAAAATTAGCCGCACGCTGGCCGGGCGCGGTGGCTTATGCCTGTCATGCCTGTAATCCCAGCAGTTTGGGAGGCTGAGGCGGGTGGATCATGAGGTCAGGAGTTCGAGACCAGCCTGGTCAAGATGGTGAAACCCCGTCTCTACTAAAAAATACAAAAATTAGCCCAGCACTGTGGCGGGCGTCTGTAATCACAGCTACTCAGGAGACTGAGGCAGGAGAATCACGTGAACCCAGGAGGCGGAGTTTGCAGTGACCCGAGATCTCGCCACTACACTCTAGCCTGGGTGACAGAGCAAGACTGTCTCGAAAGAAAGAAAGAGAGAGAGAGAGGAAGGAAGGAAGGAAGGAAGGAAGGAAGGAAGGAAGGAAGGAAGGAAGGAAGGAAGGAAGGAAGGAAGAGATAGATTAGCCACAAGTGGTGGTGTAGGCCTGTAGTCCCAGCTACTCAGGAGACTGTCGTAGGAGGATCACCTGAGTCCGGGATATAGAAACTACAGGAAGCCATGATCGTGCCACTGCACTCCAGCCTGGGTGACAGAGCGAGACCCTGCCTTAAAAAAAGAAAAAAAAATACTCTTCTCATTAGAGCAAGAGCTAAGATTCAATGAACTTGGAAGTGCCTTCCTGCTTTGATATTCTATGAAACTGGGTCCATGTAAGCTAGTGAAGTGCCTTGCCCAAGGTCATGCAGCTAATTAGTGACAGAAGTGGGACCAGAATTTAGGTCTATTCATGTCTGGTTCAGTATTCTTACCACTAAACTATTTTAACTTTGATTGTACTCTGAGTTGTACTCTCAGGGGTGACCAGAAACCCCATATAAAAACAAGATCAGTAAAAACTGGCTCTGAAATGAAACAAAGCTGCAGCACAGCCTGACACAGTGTACAGAGTGTAAATTTGATAATCAGATTGAAGTGGCTCTGTCACTCACTCCTGTATGGCTGTGGGCAAATTACTCAACTCCCACACACATAGACATTGTCTCCTCATCTATAAAATAAGCATAAATATTTCTATCTCGTGAGGATGCTGCAAGATAAGTAAGGAGATGTTTTTAGATAGATTGATCACAAAACATTATAAACACACACACACACACAGACACACTGCTGAGTTCAGTGTCAAGAACATAGTAGACATTAGAGATGGCATTCAGTCTTCTTCTCTTGTGATCTGGTGGGAACAGGCATCTACCAGTCAGAGCCAAGACTGGCTCATCTCCATCCCACCGCACACAAGGTGACTGTTAGCCCACAAGAGAAGGAAATGTTTAGGCCAGCCCTGGGATCCTGCTGCCATCCCCACTCTGTCACTTCAAAGGCTGGCAGCTTGGGTCTGTAACTGTTAATGAATTACCAACAAACAGGAAAGCAGTGTGGCAAGGAAAGATAACACGAACTTTGGAGCCAAACAGACCGAATTTCGAATCCTGGCCCTGCCACTTACTAAATCTGTGGATCTTAACCTGCCAGAACCTTAGTTTCCTTTTCTGTAAAATGGGGACAATATTGTGGAACACACAATACAGTTTGTACAAAAAGTTGTACACAAAGCACAACGCCATGGCTCATGAAGCACCTTTGAAAATGAGATTCTTTATTTTCCACCAAGAACCTAGAACTGTACTGAGCACATTTTAGATGTTCATTACATGATGGTTGGTAGCATCTCTTTCCTCCTGCTGCTGCTGTACAGCCCTGTGCCGACCTGAACCATAAGTAATGTGGTGTATGTTATCCTGGCTGCCTTTAGTAGATGGTAAATATTATACTCTATACTACCATATTCCTAGGCATTTTACCACTCACCACACCACGTTGAATATGTAAGATTCCTCATTCAATATCGTTTTTGCAGAAATGTATCTGAAAAGATTTTTAAAGTTTTACTTCTGAAATTATTTGACTGTAAGTAAGTTGTGATTGGCACTGTTCCTTCTGCATTCCAGGTACTTGGGAATTCCTACAAAATGAGAAAACTAACCAAAGATTGTTTTCCCATGTAGTGAGCTTTTTATGTGTCCCAAATTTCAAAATAAGTGAAATCAACTTCATGTTACTTTAGTAGCAGGTAAGTAAATATTTTTTATTTGATTCTATATTTGACTTTTCCTGTATTGGAGCCAATATATTTTTCCCAGTCTCAAATGTTGTAGGCCCTTGGAAACCTCCCAGGTTCTAAGCACTGAGCTTCTAGTGCTTAATGGATAAAACAGCCCTGAGGCTGTGGCAGTGGGGAAAACTCATGACGAATGACTAGGATCAAAATACACAATCAAAGGAACCCCATCCCCAGGCCTCCGTGAGTGAGGCTGGCCAGCTGCATGGGCCAGCACCTACTTGAGGGAAAGCATGTTTGCAACTTAATTGGAATCAGAGCTTGCAAATTCTCTGGTCAGTCATCTTGGTTGGCAGTAAATGTTTAGGCCAACTCTGGTCTCCTGGTGCCATCCCCACCCTCTCACTTCAAAGCTTGGCAGCTTGGGTCTGTAACTGTTAATGAATAATCACTTGGTAACCTTTCCATCCCAATGGGAGAGGCTCAGCTGAGGGCCTGCAGAGAGAAATGACTTCCTGGGGCAGGGGTGGGAGGGAGCAGTGGAGAGGGAGGGAAAGATTTGTTCCCTGGTGCCCAAGTCAACTGCTTTCTGGGTAATGTTTTCCTGGGTTCAAAAATCAATGTTTTGTTTGCTTTGTGGGGAGGAGTGCACGAAGCGATCCCTGCTGTGGAAAAGGTGAGTTCTATTGGCAAAGAAGGCTCCTCCACCATGTTTGCCTGCGATGACAAACATCTCAGAATTTTTACATTCAGAAATGCAGGTACTAGGAGCCTCAGTGAATTTTGCCACTTTGGAGAGCACTTTATCCCAAAGGCAGAGAAGTTACACAAATCCCAGAGGCTGAGAGGTGGAGCAGAGTCCAACACGCTATCGCCGACCTGAGAAACCGCAGTGCAGAGCAAGTTCCCCAGCTGCAGTCATTTGCTTTAACCGTTGACAATTTTCACAATATCTGCTTACCACCCCTATTATATTAATACGCTAAGTATACATTTACTCATTTATTTAAGATAATTCTTTAAAAATGAAACGGAGTAATGCCACCTTTCAAAGAATACTAGTGTTACTTCGTAAACAGAAATAAAAATAAATATAATGAATATCATCTAATTTTTAAATATTCTATCCAGATACTGTTTTCAGCTGAAGACTCAGCCTGAGGCCTGTTGTTGTTATTGAAAACGAGGAGAAACAAAGACTGGAAAGTGTAAAAGAATTCACCTTCTTGCTCTAAGAGGAGACTTTCTCTTAAACATTTTTACAAGGGTCTGAAGAAATTAAGGCAATGTGCACACACCACCTAAACCCACAAACAGAGACACACTCACTATGCTGTGCTCCTATGGGAAACTCTTTACTCTTCCCTTTTTAGCTTGGCACCAGCCCAAAGGGATGGATTGAACATCAGGAAGCTCTTAGCCCCAGCTCTGCCACTCACTTGGTGGCCTTGGAAAGGGCATTTGCCCTTTCAGGAACTCAAGCTCCCTCATCTTTAAAATGAGGGAGTCAACTGAGATGATCCCTAAGGTCCCTTCCAGCCCTGACCTTCTATCCTTCCAAGACATTCTCCAGCAGGGCAAAATGTCAGGCGTGGAAGGAACCCAACTCGCCATACTGCTTTGCCAGCTGAAGCAGCGATCCCTTCACTAGGAGTGACCATTTTTTCTAACTTCAGTGAGACACTGGACCACAGAATGGGGAGGAATGCATTTGACTCCACGACCTTAATATCAACTCTTTCAGGGACACCTGACCTAGCCCAGCAGAGGGGCGTATGGACTTTTCACATGTTTTTCTTCAAGATTTAGTTTCTCAGCTGGGCACGGTGGCTCACGCCTGTAATCCCAGCACTTTGGGAGGCTGAGGTGGGTAGATCACCTGAGGTCGGGAGTTCGAGACCAGCCTGACCAACATGGAGAAACCCTGTCTCTACTAAAAATAGAAAAAAAGTAGCTAGGTGTGGTGGCGCATGCCTGTAATCCCAGCTACTTGGGAGGCTGAGGCAGGGGAATTGCTTGAACCTGGGAGGCGGAGGTTGCAGTGAGCTGAGATCGCACCATTGCTCTCCAGCCTGGGCGACAAAAGCGAAACTCAATCTAAAAAAAAGAAAAAAAAAAAATTTAGTTTCTCTTTGTGATTTCTCAGAGTCTCAGAAAAGATACCTGGGAGTGTGGGGAGAATAGGAGTTAGGGCACCTGAGAGGTCCTGGTTAAAATTTCGTATTCGACACACTCTAGCTGTGGGATGATATGGAATTTTCTTACCTTTTCTGAGCCTCATTTTATTCATATATATATATATATATGAAGGGTAACCATACCACATAAAACTGTTGTGAGGGGTAAACAAGATAAGTGTTTATTAGAGGCACAAAAAGGCACATTATCGGCTGGTACTAAACAATAGAATGCCAGGGGTGTTCAATATTTTAGGCTGCACATTGCCCTAAAATAACTGACTTAGCGTATGAAATTCTTAGAAGGACTAGCAAGGCTCCCCCATGATGACCTATTCATCCACCTACCTCCCCTCTCTGTTCCACTGTCTCCCTTAGGAGAGATGGCACCGGTCAGAGCAGGATGCTGCCCCTTGCTGCTGCTGCTTCTGGGGCTGTGGGTGGCAGAGATCCCAGTCAGTGCCAAGTCCAAGGACGTGACCTCATCTCAGTGGTTTAAAACTCAGCATGTGCAGCCCAGCCCTGAAGCATGCTACTGAGCCATGAGCAACATCAGTAAGTACACAGAATGGTGCAAAGACCTCAACACCTTCCTGCATGAGCCCTTCTCCGGTGTGGCCACCACCTGCCAGACCCCCAACATAGCCTGCAAGAATCGCCATAAAAACTGCCCCCAGAGCAGCGGGCCCGTGTCCCTGACCATGTGTGAGCTCACTTCAGGGAAGTACCCAAACTGCAGGTACAAAAAGAAGCACCTGAACGCACCTTACATAGTGGCCTGTGACCCTCCACAACAGGGTGACCCAGGGTACCCACTTGTTCTGTGCACTTGGATAAAGTTGTCTAAGGCCTGGCGCCCACATTCCACCTCACACTCTGCAGACTGTACACTGCTGCTTTTCCTCCCTCCAGTTCGTTATTAATCTTTGCTCCTCGTTGCAAATGCCATTTTCTTCACACACACCCAACCTCACATACTCTTGGTTTCTTAGGGAGTTTTAAAGACACTTCAAAGGATGAGGGGAGACAGCAGATTCTCTTCAGCCTTTCATTGTAGCTTACTTTGCAGCCCTTCCAGAGTCAAGCCCTCAGGATCCCCACAAGGATGGATCCAGGTTTGGTGAGGCCTGTGGCTTATCTAATTTTGAAGACCCTCTTAAAGAAAAAGGATATAAAATTACAAATGTAAAATAAGATGCTTGGAAGGGCTGTGGCTGGACAGTTCAGGGAGATCCCAGACAGGGGTAATTATCTAAGGAAGGAAGGAAGGGGAATCTGCTGTGTTCCCTGTGTTGGGCAAAGAAATGCATCTGATCTTGCTGTAATAAAGACTCTGCTGTTGCTGATGGAGTGTGTGTTACTGCCTTGGGGTAAGTGGAGAGGTTTGGAGCTCCAATTCCGAGGCCCTGAAAAGGCCCTGAAACACTTGACTCTGTGAGGCATCAGCTCCACCTGCCTTGCAGGCCGGAGGGAAAGCAGCACCCTGAGCAGGCACAGTCTCGGAAGCTGACTTGATTCTGTCCTCCAGCCCCTTGAGGGCTCTCTGGTCATCCCCTCTCATGTGAAGGGGTAGAGTGACAGGAAGGACCGGCTGAGCCCTGGGATGCCAGTCAGGTCTGAGGCCTGACCCCCTTGTTTCTGCACAAGACCTGAGTTCATGCTTCATCAACGTGACCCAAAGCAGGACCCTCAGCATTCTGGAGTGAACTTCCCTCCCTGGGGAATTTCAGAATCAGGACCTACTAAGAATCCTGATCTGGTCCTAATCATTACTGAAGACTAACTGTGGTAAAGGAGCAGTTTTATATGCAATCGGCCATAGACCAATACTTTTGTACAATACAGTACAATGAATTACTAGAAAATGAAATATAACTATAGAAAATACAAGCTCAATTGTTTTATTACTAGATTTAATTAATAGAAAATACTCTGTCAAATTGCCATAACAGTTACTGGTTTTTTGGGTTTTTTTTTTTTTCACACAAGGTCTCACTCTGTCGCCCATGCTGCAGTGCAGTGGCCCAATCTCTGCTCATTATAGCCTCGACATCCTGGGCTCATGTGATCCTCCCATCTCAGCCTCCTGCGTATCTGGGACTACACGTACAAGCACAGCACTGCACCTGGCTAATGTTTGCATTTTTTTGTAAAGACAGGGTTTCACCATGTTACCCAGGCTGGTCTCAAACTCCTGGGCTCAAGCGATCCCTCAACTCCTGGGCTCAAGTGATCTACCCACCTGGACCTCCCAAAGTGCTGGGATTATAGGCATCAGCTGTGGCGCGCAGCCCATAAAAGTTTCTTAATGTTTCTTCTCAATTTCTGTACTTGTATTGATAGATATTCACAGAGAGAAAAACATACACATATCATACACATATACACACATACATACCTACATGCCAACATAAGGCACACACATAAACACCCTCATATGCATATACATACAGAGGAACACATAGTAACAACGTGCACCTGTGTGCACAACACCCACACATACACATATACTCATACTCAACAAGACACCCCCTCTTCTTCCCCAAGCTATCTCTGCTTTCTTATTATACCTCCCTTCCCATATTTGGAAAGAGAGTTTCCTACACAGGCTATGATTCAGAGTAAGGAAAGGATGTTTGGTGAAACGTGAAGTGGCAGAGAAAGCATAGAATCCAGAAATTCAAAATCCCAGTCCCCTTCTATGCTTTCTAGAACTAGAACTCAATGTAGCCTGTCACGCCAACACCATCTCACTGGCAGCGTAGTTTCCCCCACAGCCTCCAGCCCCCTCCACACTGCTCTGCCCATCACTACCACTATGTTACCCACCCTTGTGCTTATAACCAGGGAAGACATCTGGAAGTGAGAGACAAACAGCATTCTTCTATACCCTGGCTTCTTCCCAGTGTTGTGGGCAGGCTCCACTTCCTGTGGCTGCACCTTAAATGATGGTGTTTCTCAGGGTCCTATTTTGAGCTCTCTTTTCTTCCCACACTGTACTCTACTTGAGTGATTTGACTTACTTCCATGGCTCCAACCACCATTAACCTACTCCCAAAGACAGGTATATCTCCAGCCCAGAGCTCCCAAAGTCCAGACATACATGTCCATCTTCATACTGTTACTAGTCCAGTCAGTGTCCCACAGGCATCTCAACCCAAAACACTCAAAACTAAGTTCATAATCTGCCTGGCTTCCAAACCTGTCCCTCCCTACTCCTGCAGCCTCTCAGTGTTCGTTAGTGGAAACATCATACCCAATCATTCGAAGTCCTAATCTAAGACACATCTGTGTCAACTCATGCTTGTCTGTCTGTTTTTCCAGTAATTGCCCACCTCATCCCAGGAACTACCTCAAGAGGGCATAAAAGTTATTGAGTTTTATTTTCTTTTTTCCAAATAGCACTGAGTTCCTAACACGTGCTCAATACACATTATGGCTTTGGAGGGGGGCCGTGATTTGGAGCTAGGCAAATATGCGTAGGTTGGTACAACCGCAGATTCACTATCTTGTTTAGAGGGCAAGATTAAATAGTATATATGAAACTACCAAGTAATAAGATAGAAGAGAAGCATAAACCAAATGGATTCTGTAACATTTTTCTCCCACCTCATCTAGGGTTTCATTTATCCTCAAGTTCATTTATCGTAATCTAAAGTTCATTCTCCGTTGAATGTTAATTTTCCCGTTGCATACCTCTGGCTTAGCATTAGGTCTGTAGCCAGGGTTAGGCAACACCAGGAGAAGTTCAACCATTCAATATCTGTAAGAATTGTGGCCCCAGAAGCTGGGAAGAGTGTGAAAAGAATTCAGAATAGAATGAATTGTTAAGCAGACTAATTATATCTAAACAAGCGGGGGTAGCAACCTGGGTAGGAGTTTCTGACTTCCTTGTGTAGGCTGAAGAATTAGATGGAGTGTAACTTGAATCTAGGGGTCATGGGCTGTAAAACTGGCCCATTCTGAGGGTAATGATACAGCACGCATAAAACAGGGCTCAGTGGGGCAGCTGGGGCCACAGAAGAGCTGCCCAATAGCCTTGGGACAGAATTTCTACTGTTACGCTCTCTGGGCCCCTGAGAACGTGTTTCCAAAAAATCACTTGAGAAGGGTCTCCTCAGCGATTTGGGAGGACACAAGTATTTTAAAGTGGGTAAGTATGTTTTAATATCCAGAAAATTTAGAATGAAGTATAGAAATGTTTAAAAGAATCAACACATAGCATTCACATATTCGTATTAAGGAATTTGTATTACTCTTGTCATTCTAATTTAAAATGCACATGATTTGAAATGAGACTTTCCTTTAAAATTAGTTTTGGATCATTTAAGAAAACATAGAAATTGAATCATCCTATTTATAAATTGTTAGATTTATAAAGGTTTTTAGGTATTCAGGAATGCTTTGTTGGTTAGCTCAAATGGCCAAATTATAAGGACGTGGAATATATATTGAAGTTATAAAATATCTCTTTTAATGTTTAAAGAGTTTCCTTAACTACTTACAAATAAGATCAAACAGTCAGTGAATACGATTCTTTAAAGTGATTGTTAGAATTTATTTCTATGTAAGTTAAACATAAAAGCTTAAGAAAGCTGATTTATAACTTTAACATAGGAAACATAAATGTTAAAAAGCCAAGTGGCCTCTAAATACTCTTTGCTCGGCACAAAAGAAACATTTTAAAGACTCACATTAACACTACAAGACCGATTCATTTTCTATGATATTTTCATCTATACTGCACAGTGGGCTTTGGTGATTATATTTTCTGGTGTTAATATGTTTGTTGATTTTGCTGGGGTGTTTAGCAGGGAGGGAAGCTCAAGGCTCAGGCTCAAGGGCATGCGACTAGCAGTGGAGCTTTCAGAATGGAATCTGGACCTCTGTCTTTCCTCAGCATTCTCCTCCCTCTGCACTGTGCTGCCTTCAGTTGGGTTATTTTTCTGACTTGGGAATGGGAGTATTATATCCTAGAAAACCTGAGAAACATGAGTAGGGTTTCCCTGAGGCCAGTGTAGGGGTGGCAGAGGAATTCAGCAAAATATACTCCAAGAAAAAGTAAAACTGAAAGACTGTGGGCAGGTCTCCATCCTTTATAGGGACTTTTCCTCCTTGGCCAAACTTGGAGTTTTGAGACTACTTTTACTAAGCAAAGTAGTTTTTAAACTGTAAACAAAACAGGCTGGGCACAGTGGCTCATGCCTATAATTCCAACACTTTGGGAGGCTGAGGTAGGAGGATCAATAGAGCCCAGGTGTTCAAGACCAGCCTGGGCAGTATAGTGAGACCTTGCCTCTAAAAAAAAAAAAGAAAAAAAATTTTTTTTAATTAGCTGGGTGTGGGGATGCACACCTGCCTGTAGTCCCAGCTATTTGGGATGCTGAAGTGGGAGGATTGCTTGAGCCCAGGAGGTGGCAGTTGCAGTCAGCTGAGACTGCACCACTGTACTCCAGGCTGGGCAACAGAGCAAGACCCTGTCTCAAAAAGGAAACAAAAACAAACAAAAAAAATGTATTTTAAGCAACCAGTTTTAAGCAAAAATTGCTTAAAAATGCATTTTAAGGCCGGGCGCGGTGGCTCATGCCTGTAATCCCTGCACTTTGGGAGGCCGAGGCGGGCGGATCACGAGGTCAGGAGATCGAGACCATCCTGGCTAACACGGTGAAACCCCGTCTCTACTAAAATACAAAAAATTAGCCGGGCGCGGTGGCGGGCACCTGTAGTCCCAGCTACTCGGGAGGCTGAGGCAGGAGAATGGCGTGAACCCAGGAGGCGGAGCTTGCAGTGAGCCGAGATGGTGCCACTGCACTCCAGCCTGGGCGACAGAGTGAAGACTCCGCCTCA